GTCACAGTTAGAAATCAGACAAGTCTTTGGGGAAAAAAAAATCCCCTATACCATCAGGGACTGCGATGGGTCACATTCCTTCGGTAGGAAGCAGTAGAGGCGCACTGGCTCGGGAAACAGGGACGAGAGAGGCTATAAAAGGTAAGGTCTTAAAAATAGGAGGAGGCCCCGGGGCAGAGAGCAAGCTCGAGAGAAAGAAGGAGCTCCCAGCTCCGCGGCTTCCTCCACTTAGTCGTGAACGCCGCCGGCCTCTCTCTCACAGTCTGCCCGGCTTCCTTTTAGTGGCGTGTGGGGTGAGGGGTGGCTTCAGACTTTAAGAGGGGAGACTGGCTCAGCTCTCCCCGGAGAAGTGGGGACCGGGACCCCCGCGTGGCTGCCTGGCTCCGGGATCAGGGTCCATGCGAGCCTCCCTCCGGCCCCGACACCCTGCCAGGACCGGGGAGCACGGGACACCGTGCAGCATGAGTTGTGAGGACCAGGGCAGTTGTGTGACCCAGTGGCTCTGAACTTGACCTGCTTATTAGTCCTTAGTTTTCCCTCTAGGGCATGGGGATGCTACGCTTTCCTCGGGGACAATGAGGCTTCCCTACCACCCTCCCCAAGCCGGTTGGAAATGGGAAGTTGGGAGAGGAGGGGAGGACAGGAGGATGCTGCTGGGATGCTGCCAGTGGTGGTGCCACTACCTACTTCCCTGTCCCTAGCCGAGGTGTCCCTCTGGCCGTGCTGCTGTGTCACTGACCACATCAGGGGGCTGGTGGGCCGAGCTGTCCTTCCACCCCGGCCTGCCACTGCCAGGCCACAGGCACCCCTGCAGAGATGACCGCCATCTAAAAGCGGAGCTGAGCAAGGCCACCGTGTGCATGTCTGGGCAGCGAGCTCACAGCACCAGAGCTGGGGGCACAGCAAGACGTGCTGCCCACGGCGTTCATTCTGGGGGGCATCAGCTTCCTCTCGCCCTCAGGGGAACCCTCTGTGTGCCGAGCAACGTGAAATTCTGCTGAGCTAGACGGTTTGGCCGGTGAACAGCAATGGCCCCTCTGTCCTCCTACCCTTCCCAACCTCACATGTCCCCGTCGCCCTGCAGCAGAGGTGAATAATACGCAAAATGACCAAGGACCCGGAGGAGGGCAGGGGTCGAGGGGTGGCGAGCAGGTGGGACCGGCTGTGTTCCAGGCACTTCTTCGCTGGCGAGGGCGGAGTTTCGTTGGGTCTGGTGAGACTGGGAACGTGACTTTGAACCATGTGTTCCCTTAAATCAAACGCCTCTGTAACACGGCAGTTTGGAGAATTACCATTAGTTTTTAATGATAATAATTTTGATAGGATTTTTATTTGCTTTTCAATCACATCACGGTCAAAGCCTGAGTCACGTGTGATTCCTGAGTTCTGCTCTAACCGTTAGAGGACTCTTTCGTGAGCTGAGACAGTCCGGGCGTGGGGCTGCCTTCTCCGGGCGGCAGCCGTGGCGGCTTCCTGTCTTGGAAGAATTCGGGAAGTGCCGACACCAAGTGCTGGAGGTCCGGACGTGAGCAAGGTCAAGTCCTGTCTCCAGGAAGCTGGAGGTTTAGCCGGGGAGATAGGCTTTTACTTTTCTGAGAAGGAATGAGGTGGCCGCGGAGGTACGTATTTTGCCACGTGTGATGCACAGTTTTTTTGCCCAAATTTTTGAGGGAAAAATAAGGATGCGCATTATACACGGGTAGTACTAATTCCGTATCTGCATAAATGTTTTTAATTCTTTTATTTATGCTCCTGCGTTTAAAGTATAACTTTAGAAGGTAGTAAAAATATCCATATGTTCAAAAATAAAAAATTCCTTTATAATACAAAAAACAAGTATCTAAATATAAATAAATAAATAAATAAATGAATGAATGATTGAATTAAAAAATTAAAATGAAAGATTGTTCTCCTGAAAGTTTGGGCCAAAAACATGGGTGTGCATTATACAGGGCAAAACACGGTAACTGGGGGTCGCACCAGCGTGGGCAGAGGGAGTGCGGGAAGAGGAAGGGGTGGCAGCGCGACAGGCTGGGAAGGACGGCCTGTGCAGGGACCAAGGGGACAGGAGACTCACCCCGAGAGTCTAGGCCAGAGACACTCGAGTAGGAGAGGAGCACACGGTCCAGGTCACGTCCGCGTTTGAAATCGACACTCAGGCTAATGCACCGTAATGAATAATGCTCTAAAGGTCTCATCTGTGTGTCCATTACTCTCTGCGTTGTTACGTGCGGCTCATTAAACAATTCCTTGAGAGCTGGGTGTGCAAACAGGAGGGCCCCCGAACCCGCCCTCATCCGTGCCCTCCTGCTGCTGCCTCACTCCCCGCACACGTGCCGCGTTCCCGTTCTGGGCCCTGCCGCCTCCCGCCCCTCCCCCCACCCCACCTGGGTCTCAGCGGTTGGCAGTTTAGCTCTGCAGCCTGCTGAGATGGAGAACTCAGTCCCCTGGCCCTTCCCCGCCCGCCCCCTCCCCTTCACGGTCGCTGAGGCCCAACCATTCTTCTCTGAAACGCCTCTGGAATCCATCCTCTCCTCCAGCCATTATCCTACTTAAACGTCATTTCTTGCAGGACTCTTTCAACGCCTCCTGCTGGCGTTGTTGCTCCATCCATCCTCCCGCTCCATCCGGCCTTTAGTCTGCCGCCACCGTGAACTTCCTAAGACACAGTCCAAGTCCCATCGCCGCCCTGCATGAGCCCCTGGAATGGCCCCCTCCGGCAAATGTGTTTCTCTAACCGTGGCCCACGACCCCCCTGCAGCAGGAGCCCCTGGGCTGTGAAAATTCAGCTTCCAGGGCCGCACCCCAGGCTTTCTGAAACAGGCGGGCCCTGGAATGTGCATTTTTACTGAGCTCGGCCAGGTGGCGTTTCAGCCCTGAGGCTGGAGGAGCGCAGCCAGGAGACCGGGCTCGGCCACAGGGTCCTGACCAGGCGTTGCCCTCCTGCTGCCGCCTGCGTTCACCCCTGCAGCCAGGCCCCCGCCCGAGGCCCAGTGACACCCAGGCCCTTCGCTGTGTCATACCCCAGGGCCCGGAGCAGTGCCAGGCAGGGGGCTGGCCCTGAATTAGTGTTTGATGCGTGAATCTGGGGGACAGGGCTGTGTCACCTGCAAACTTCGAACCAAGCCACTGCAGGCCTCCAGTCAGCCGTGTCCCAGCAGTGTGGGTTCTGGTCCTTGGGTGGGCCTCTGAGGGTCCCGGGCTCTGTCTTCTGTCTGACTGAGAAATGGAAGAGGAATCTGCCCGGGGAGAATATTCCAGCATCTCCTGAGAACAGCTGAGGGGGGTGTGCATGGGCAGGGAGGGGTGTCAGGACAGAGGAGGCAGGGTCACACCCCTGGGGAGGGAGCTGTCCCTTTGACCAGCCCTCCTGCTGGGCCAGGTCTCCGGCGCAGCCGTGCTGGGACTGAGACTCGGAGCCCTGCCAGTGTTGGGAGCTGCCGGTCCGTCCCAGACAGGCCTCCTGTCGTCAGAGACATTCCGGCTCGCAAAATAGGCTGTCTGCTTCCCGCTCCGCACCAAAGGCAGACATTCGCCAATTCAAAGTATCGTTTTGATCCACTGCCTTGAGGTTAATTGTCAGCGCATGTAGGGGCCTTGGTCTGCGAGGGCAAAGCTCAAAAAGCAAAGGACGGTATTTTAGCGCACCCACAAAAGAGCCTAAAATAAGGGCCAAGGTCAAGTTGGAGTTGCCACAAAGGAGACACTGTCTGCCGGCCGCTTGCCTTCTCTGTTCTCCGCTGGTGGGAGCGGCTAACGTGTGCGGAACCCCGTCTGCCGTCCTGGCCACCACTCCTGCTCCAAGTTAACCCAGAGACCCCAAACCCACACTTTCAGGGCCGTGGTGCAGGCACCTGTCATGTAAGAGGAGGAGGAGGCTGTGCGAATCCTTATGGCGCCGTTCGGAAAACGCGAGGGAACGTTTCTCAGAGTGTTTGCTTTGCAGTTGAAAATATTCAGCGTTTCTGCTGGGTTCGGGGTTGGTGCGTTCTTCACCGTCTGTCAATAGTGTGTGCCTGTGCGGCCGGGGCCTCGTGGGGGTGTAAACACACCTTGTCACGCTTGCCATCTGTCGGTGTTGGTTTGTGCGGCTCACCCAGTCCAAGCAGGTGCCCAGCTTCGCACAGACAGACCTGAGACCACATGAAATAAATGCCTCTAATTGTTCACACTTTAAAATTATTCAGTACACCGTTGAACCCAATCTTGTGAGCTATTCCTTCTCGCAAAATGGCCTTCCCCATGGCTTATGGCACTTGATGCCTTAAAAAATGACAACCACCGCCTTGATCAAACATGTACTTGGTTGTCACATTTTAATGCCTTTACCTGGGTTCCTCAGGCCAGGAGACCGAGGTATGGGAAGTAAGGTGACCTGTCAAACGCCATTTAGACAGCTCAGCTGGACCAGAGACCGACGCCAGGGACCCTGGCCCTCTGGCTTTGCCGGATCCCCTGGGCTCTGAGCCACGAGCAGATAAGAATGCAGAATCAAAGGCTACTATGGGATCAGAAACAGTTACTGAGTCTGCTCTCTTTCTCGGTGCCCTATCTAGTCTTATCATCGTCAGAGACAGATTGTACAGCCTACAAAAACATTGTTTTGTAGGAAGGTTACATGGGTATAACCTTTTGTATGATCACAAATAACTTTTTTTAAAGATTTTATTTATTTATTTTTAGAGAGGGAAGGGAGGGAGAGAGAGCGAGAGAGAGAAACATCCATGTGCAGTTGCTGGGGGTCGTGGCCTGCAACCCAGGCATGTGCCCTGACTGGGAACCGAACCTGCGACACTTTGGTTTGCAGCCCGCGCTCAATCCACTGAGCTACGCCAGCCAGGGCTATGATTACAAAATAACTTTTGTACGATTATACTACCAAGGCTGTGATCCATAGCTGAAATTCTCCCTTTCCCTCCAGTTCATCAATTTTATTGATTGATTGATTGTTTCCTTATTTGCAGAAACTTACCTGGAGAGTGCCAGCCCAAGGCCCCCTCATGGGTGCATCGAACGTGACGGCGTCCGCTGCCGAGGGGCCGGCGAACGCCTCGGCCGGCAGGAACGCGTCCGCCGGGGAGCTGTACCAGGCAATCTCCGTGGTGCACTGGTTCATTATGAGCATCGCCTCCCTGGGCTTCGTGGAGAATGGGGTTCTCCTGTGGTTCCTCTGCTTCCGGGTGAGGAGGCACCCCTTCACCGTCTACATCACCCACTTGTCCATCGCGGACATCTCGCTGCTCTTCTGCATTTTCATCCTGACGGTCGACTATGCTTTAGATTTCGAGCTCTCCCCCGGCTATTACTACACAATGGTCACCTTATCGGTGACGTTTCTGTTTGGCTACAACACGGGCCTCTATCTGCTGACGGCCATCAGTGTGGAGAGGTGCCTGTCCGTCCTGTACCCCATCTGGTACCGATGCCAGCGCCCCAAGCACCAGTCGGGGTTCGTCTGTGCCCTTCTGTGGGCGCTCTCTTGCCTGGTGACTTCCATGGAATATGTCATGTGCATTGACAGCGAGGGGCAGAGTCACTCTCCAAGTGGCTGCAGGGCGGTGATCATCTTCATAGCCCTTCTGAGCTTCCTGGTCTTCACCCCGCTGATGGTGGTGTCCAGCACCGTCCTGGTGGTCAAGATCCGAAAGAACAGCTGGGCGCCCCATACCTCGAAGCTGTACCTGGTCATCGCGGTCACCATCGTCATCTTCCTCATCTTCGCCATGCCCATGCGGCTCCTGTACCTGCTGTACTATGAGTACTGGCCGACGTTCGGGAACCTCCACCACGTTTCCCTGCTCTTCTCCACCATCAACAGCAGTGCCAACCCTGTCATCTACTTCTTCGTGGGCAGCAGCCCGAAGAAGCGCTTCAAGGAGTCCTTGAAGGTGGTTCTGACCAGGGCTTTCAAAGAGGAAATGCAGCCGAGGCGCCAGGAAGGCAACGGCCATACCGCCACCATCGAGACTGTTCTTTGAGGACGAAAACGGCGGGTCACTGGTCGTCTGTGCTTCAAATACAGCTTACACATCTCCTCCGTAGGATGCAGAAGGACACCCCACCCCACGTGCATGAGACACGGGCTGACCGCGAGATTGCACTCTAGAGCTGTACCTCCTGGAAATGCCCCACAGCGATCCTCAGTCATTTCTGTACCTGTTGAAAAACTCTTTCCTTTCTTCCCCAGCGCTTCTGGCAGCATTTTTCCAAAACTCGAAAAATTATCCTAGCAGGAAGGTCTGCAGATGTGTACAGGAGAAGGTGACAAAAATATTTGTTGGAACTTGAGGAGGCAGAGCCACGCGGCGGGAAGGACGTGGGTTCTGGAATCAGGCGACTCTGTCATTTGCGGCCTGTGTGACCTCAGGCAGGTGGTTCAACCTCTCGGAGCCCTGCTTCCTCTCTTGGAAGACGTTCCGCAGCGGAGTCCGTGCTTCCCAGGCTCGCGGTGAGACGAAAAGGGAAGATGAGGAGTGCGAGGCACTTGGCCCGTTGTCACTGTTCACTGAACGAACGGCAGCCTCTCCTCCTTTACGCGGAAGGAGAAATACGTACTTCCGTTCTGTAGAGCGCACCCATGGCTCTGCCGCGTACCCGTATTCTTACAGGGTTTCAGCTGTCGAACGTAGATTTAAGAAGGTCCTCTCTCTGCTTGCAGCGTGAAAGCCTTTCATGGTGCAGCGCCGCTACTGAAAACGGCCCCAGGTGTGACAACACCCCAGCAGCCTTGTGTTAGACCGTCATTTCGGGTTGTGAACACACGCATTTGGCCTCCAGTGTGTGTGCGGGGCTGCTCGGGGCTGCCCTTGCCCCTGTGGGAATGCTGGATGCCGTGAAGGTCTGTTTTGACGTGCTCCACTTGACATCAGTGTTCACAAGTGGAACTTAAGTCCAGGTGCATGAGGGGGACTGTGGTGTCCGAGCCCCGCCCCCCACCCCATGAAGAGGTGGGGTTTTTATTTACAGCCGCAGGGATGTCACCTGCAGCCAAGTGCCTGTCCCTGCACCTCTGGGCCTCCTCTCCTCTTGAGCGCGAGTTTCTGTGTGTCATTCTGGACGGAGGCTCGGTGGCAGGGGCTGGTGACAGTGTGGCCACATCTCAAGGGAACTTGGCAGGACTTGCTCAGCATCTTAGCGCTCTGCCGCCCACCTGCCCCAACTTGTCCCCGGGCCTTCGGCCTCACGTCCCAGGTGTTCGCTGGGACATGTGCAGGGCCTCTAGACTACACCACTAGGTTACTTTCCTCCAGCCTCTCCCGGGAGCCTCATGACAGTGGCAGTGCTCCCCGGGGCTCTGTGGGGGATAATGTGTTCGTGCCTGTTTGTATGTATGTTCACTGCCTCGGACGGGCCAGGGAAGTGCGGTGAAGTGGCTCTCTCCCGCTGCCTGTTTCTTCTCCATCCTCTGCCTTTAGAAAGAAACCGTCTCCTTGAGCATGCAGGCAGCCCCGCTGGTGGAAACGAGCCAGTCCCCTCCCGCTTGGGTGCCAGCAGCTTCGCAGTGGAGACGACTTTGGATTCAGAAACGAGGCAGCTTGTTCCCGGGAGCCCAGCTGGGTGCGGAGCGATGACATTTAGAATGATCTTGCTTTCAGCTGAAAACAGAGCGTCTTCACTGGGGAGCAAGGGAACGTGGGGATCAGAGGGGCTGCCCTCTGTTCACCGTCATCTGCCCGGGGCCCGCGCTGGCCTCCTGGTCGGTGGGAATGGGATCCCCCTTGGCTGGTCTCCAGGGGTCCCGGTGCCGACGAGGAACGAAAGACTCTTAGAAACGACGAGTTCTCACCGGAGGGAAATATGGTGCCCTAATGGGAAGCCCCCGTTCATTGCCTTTCTGCTGACAAGGTGGGGACATCGAATGTGTTCATGAGTACACAAAGCCGTGAGTGGCGAAGAGGCGGGACTCAGCGCTTGGCCACGTTGTAGGGACATGCTCCTCGCTTGCTTCCCCTAAATCCGTCCCCTACAGCCAAGCGTAAGGTGGAACCCGAAGCAGGAAGATGTACGTAAACACTCACCTACGGGGAATAGACTAGCCGATTCCCACCCGCTGGGCACCCAGACAACAGGCCTGAGTCACTGCAGGCCAGAGGCACTATTTCCAAGAGCCCCCTGGGCCTGGGGAGGAGCTTGTCAGGGTGGTGTCTGTCCCTGACGAAGGGGAAGTGCTCAGGCGACAAAGATTCACGAGTGGCCTTCTCCCCCAAGCTCCAGGATGCGAACCAGGCCCAGAGCTGCGGGGGGTGGGGAGCCACCAGGGTGTGGGGTGGGGGGCGAAGATGAGCTGCGGGCCTCTCCCGTCCCGCTGCCCGCGACTCGGCCTCAGGGGACTGTCTCAGCACAGCTGAGTGGCAGTCAGAGTGCGGGGAGATCTCATCTTCTGGAGCAAAAAAGGAGTGCGCCCTTTGGTTGCTCGAAGGCGGGATTTTGAACAGGCGGAAGCAGGTGGGGGACCGGGCGGAGGGCCGGCCTGAGCGAAGGCAAGGACGAGCCAGCCCGAGGGAGGCGAGTCCAGCTGCTGCCGCTTCTCTGGACTGGCCGCAGAAGAGGCTTTGGGGACCCGCGCGGTCCCGCTCACCACCCCCACTCTTCCTTTGCCGCTGTCATCTTTGGCCTGGGGACCCCGCGTTCTTCACGTCCTTTGAAATACGGCTCCCAGGCCTCTCTGTCCACACCCACCGTCGTCATCGCCCACGCTTGCCGCGGCAGCCGTTCCAGTGTCTTACCTGCACGAGCCCCGCTCTGGCCGCATCTCCGCGTCAGCTCTGCGGGCCTTCAGGAGCTGTCCTGCTCAGCTGCACGCCGGGCCCTGGTGCAGCTGCAGCCGGTCTGCTCCTGGGAACCGAAATGCCGCAGGCGCCCCACGTGGCCACGCTCTCCTGTGACGTTTCTTACTCCCACTGCCCCTGGGTTTCTGCACCACTGAGACCTCCTGCCTCTCCCCGCTGAGTCCGCTGCGTCTGAGTCTCTTCCGAGTTCTCTCTGTCCCTGTGCAGCCAGGCCTTGGGTGTCCCTGGTCCGGTCGCTCTCACTGTGCTCCTTGACTCTCTTCCCTCTGGCTCTCCCGTCCTGCCCTTCTGCCGCGGTGGCCACTGGACTGCACCGGGCTTCTGAGCAGACCTGACACAGCAGTCGGGTGAGGATGTGGCCCTAGCAGGCCCGTCCCTCATCACGGCCTCCCGAGTCTGTCCCCGCCCCCCTGAGCAGCTCTTCCAAACGCTGTCTCTGTCCTCAGGCTCTCTGCGTGGTACATTTTCTCCTCACCTCCCCTGTCTCCTCTCTGCCTTGCTTCCCAGGTCACTAAAAAACAAAAAACAAAAAACACCAAGGCCACTAGGTAACAACTCTGAGACCCTCCCTGCCATCTGGGAGGAACTGCTCCTCCCCTCTGCCCCCACCAATCCTCCCATCGGAAGATTTTTCTCCTCTTCCAAATTTTCCTCTCTTCCGGCACGCCCCGTCCCCACCCCCAGACAATGATCTCCTGTATTAGCAACCAAACTTGTGGGTTATTTATTTTTTTTAGGTAAACAATGCTGCAAGGGTCCACACGACCGAGCCCCTAACTCTCGGCCCCTCCGATCGCTCTGCAGGGCTGGTGGGGCTCCCTCCCCTGGCTGCTCCCGTCTCTCTGCAGTTCTTTGAAAATGCCAAGTCCGCTCTGACTTCTGAGCCTTCCACATGGGTGTTCCATCTCCCTGGAATGGTTCCCCCCTCACCCCTGGTCTCTGCTCACCTCCCCTCTTCCCTCGGCCTCTGGTCGGATGTCACCCCAGCAGGGAGGCTTCCCTGACCCCCAGCCGCCACCCCAGTTTCCCAGGGGCCCGCTTGCTCCTTGCCAGCCCCCGTGTCATGCGTGCGTCTGCTTGTTGGCTCACCGCAGAAGGTTAGGGCCTGGCCGGCAGGGATCCCTTCCACTGGAGGCCACGGCCCGGCCCCTTGTTTGCTGTGGTGGCATCACAGGTACACAGGCCCGGGCTGCGCTCATTTCAACACAAACAACGAAGACACGAAAGCCGTTCCCTACAGTCCTGTGCCGCTCCTCTCCCGCCTGCCCCTGGCCTCCCGGATACACTTCTGAAAAGCCTCTGCCACGCTCTCTGTCCCTACCTTCTCCACACCCAGCCAGCTGAGTCGACACCTTGCCACCACACTGAAATTGGCTCAGCCAGGAATACTGGCGACGTCCACACGGCCATAGCCGATGGGCCCTTCTCTACCTCTGTCTTCTGTGGCGTTTGACATAGCTGACCACGCTCTACTGCCCTTGAGCCCTGGCTGGGTAGCTCCGTTGGTTGGAGCGTCTTCCCAATACGCCAAGGTGGTGGGTTCAGTCCTCAGTCAGGGCCCATGCAAGAGTCAACCAATCAATGCATGAATAAATGAGTGCAACAACAAATCGACGTTTTCTCTTTCTCTTTCTCTGCCCCCATTCCGCTCTCTCTGAAATCAATCAATAAAAAAGATGCCGCTTGAATTCCAGTCAGCCCCTCCCCCTCCAGCTCTCATGCACCATCCTGTCCCGCCTGCTCAGAGACGTCTCACCTCTCGTGGCTCTTCCCCTGCTGTGCCACCAACGGCCACTTTCTCTGTGGCTCCGTGGCTGCGCCTCTGCTCTCTCTGCCTGCCCGCTCTCCCTGCGTGCCCTGACCCAGAGCCGCTTACATGTCAGTGGCCCTCCAAACTGCACTGACCGACCACAACCCTTGGCTGTGCTGTATCCCCTGGCTGTCCTGGGTGTCCGCACGCCCACCCGCCTGGAGGACATGTGACTAGACGCCCTGCAGACACTTCAGATGCAGCCTGTCTGGGACCCCACTGTTCCCTGTAGGTTCTTTTCTCAATGGATGACACTACTAGTCACCTGTCCCCAAAACTCTCCACATTCCCTTGGCGCAGGGTGCCCTTCCCTCTTGTGAACCTGGCAACTTCCGTTTATCCAGCTACGTCCAGCTCACACATCAGCCACTCAGGAGCA